ACCCTAACCCTAACCCTTTAATAAACGGTAAGCAGAACTGATATTGTCCTTGCAACATTGGAATTTCATAAATGCACAAATGGCTTGGCGCACAAAAGAATAACGTCACAACAATGTGATTGGTCACTTGCGATGTTGAACCTGGAACAACACCAACACGACAATATCAGATCATCCGAACTCCAACAGAGCTTGCATATATTAGAAACTTTGCTTCAAACATGCCTACTATTCAGTTTTTTTGTAATCTGGATACCTTCCCTCAGTGAACAGTCACATTCCAACTGTACTCGCCAACATAGCTATGAGATTTAAAAATGCCACGTTAATAACACATTTAGAAAAAAACTGTTGTACATTTTTGTGCAATTATGGACAGACTACTTTCTATAGCTGCACAAAAAGCTGCACTACACTTCCCTTCACTCTTTGTTTTAGCAGTATAATTCATTTTTTCTAGTAGAAAATCAACATTTTACTTAATTCTCGCCACAGTTCATCCAATCATAGGGTTTAATGTCTAAACCTAATATGGTGACGGGCCTTACTGACACGGTTTGGCCGGATGATTCAATCTGGCCCTGACAGTTTAAATGCACAGCAAGTTAAGAAAACACCAGGAAACATTTTTAAAAAGAGAAACCACTTCACACAAAACACAAGGGAAGTGTTTTTGGGTGGCGACGAGAACATGAAGGAACAGCTGCAGAAGTGACAAGCTAACAGTAAACAGCTAATAGCAAATATATAAGTTTAGTATTACATGACTCATGTGATTAAAATACACTCTGACTGCATATTTCTCTCCCTCACAACACTGACGAATCTCCACTTCGTTTTCTCTCAGTGCATTTATTCGTGTGTTTCAGTTTCTATATGCAAAAACAACCCCCACCCAAAAAATCACCTATAACACTTCCGTTAGGGCTGCACAATTAATCGTTAGAAAATCGCGATCTCGATTCATACTTATGTGCGATCTCATTTCCAAATGACAACGATTTAAAAAAAAAAA